TCAAAATAAATTTATTCGTAAGATGTTTCCGTTGGAATATAATATACTTGGAAGAACTTTCAGACTTGAGTTAAGTAGATTTAGAATGTGTCCATTATATATAAAGAGAATATTTAACTTTTTCATAAAGATAAGAGATGGTGAATTGTTACCATCAAAGTTATTGGAAATATTATATCAAACATGCGAATTAGTTCTCATGGATATAATCGGGTTAGTCAAGTATCTAATATCTTAAGTAGATATGGCTTTTCTGTAGGACTATGTATGGATAGAGATGAGATGAGTGATTTACTTTGTTCCCAATTGATCCAGAATGTTTACGAGATAACCTTGGTACAGGATATAGATGAACTTAATAAGGAAAAGAATCCAGAATGGTATAAAATTATTCTGAATTGTCCACAAATTAATAGTTATTTGTTTTTGAATTTGCCATTTAATATAAAAAATTGTTTTATACAATTAAGATTAAATAGGAAGCTGTTGATAATTAATAAGTCTACATATGACTTATTGAATAGTAGTTTTTCTAGATGTAATGTTGAATGCTCGAAAATTCATATATTTTTACTTATGCAAAGAAGCTCATGAATTCCGTTATAATGAAAATTAGAAAATATTAAAGATGAAAACAGTATGTATACTTTTTTCACAGGTCAGAGGTCAAAACTATATATAATTTGTATAACTATTTTAAAAGATTTTTTGTTTTAGAGTAAGGTATTGTATGATTATTAAAACTCTAATTGTCAATAATGGAAAAGGTGGTTTCTGTTAATAATTAAAATAAAAACGGTCAACTAATTTAATTAATTTGTATAATGTTATGTATGGGTTAACTTGTTTTGAAAATTAAAAGAAAAAAATTGTAATATAATGGTGCTTATACAAAGATTGTATACCCTAGCAGATGTAACAGGAATAATCCTAATACAATAAAGTTTATTATTTATTTGGAACACTGTCTAGAGCAGTGATTCTCAACCACTGTGCCGCGGCACTTTAGTGTGCCGCAAGATTTTTGAAGTGTGCCGACACTGCGAATACCCGCACATAAGCGACGTCAGACAAGTAGTTCAATTAGTTCTACCTTCCTAGGATGCATTTGAAAATCGTAACCGGTGTTACCGGCAACTGCCGGTAGTTACCAAGGCATTTAGAAAACGTGACCTAAATAACCAACTGTGTTTAAAAATCACTGTTATGACGTCACCGGTTTTCCTGCGGTACTTACCGAAGTAACCGTGTGTGTCGCCAAATTTTTAAATCATTAAAAGTGTACCGTGACGAATAGAAGGTTGGGAATCACTGGTCTAGAGAGATATTTAACAGTCGAAACGCAACCAAATCCCCGCGCAGCCGGATGGTCGAGACTATAGGTATCAGCCTACTATTTTGGGATACGATCAGAGATCGAATCTAGACGGGTCGATACATCCCAGGAATCTTTCGGGATTGGTTCATCTTGGATATGTCGGACCCCGTATCTCACCATTCGGCTACTTCATTGTGAGTAGGGTTTCTGAAACGGGATTCCGGGGTTGTTTTTTTAACCCGGGAAATATCCCGGGAAATCCCGCAAATTTCTTAAAAATTCACTTTTTTTCTTATTTTGTGTTAAGGTTGAGGAGTTTTGCAAATATAAAGCATAATTAACTCATTTACTGCCAGAATACATTTGTATTTATTAATTTTAAACCTACCTATTAGTTTTTTTAAATTTTTGCTCGTTATAGCATGTCACAAATGGTCAATAATCAATATATAGCTTAATTGTGGCATGACTATAAAAATTCTTTACTTGCCGGAACCTGTAATATCTGGAATAATTGTGCTTACGCTGTCTTGAGTTTTAACCATGCCCAGTAGCTTCAATAAATGCCTGACGCCAGATTGTGCAAATTGGGCAAGGATACAAACGAGTACAAAGTCTGCAAGTATGAAGTTTTTCTTCATAAACCTGATTATTAAAGCCAAATGAATTGCCGAATTATCGAGCTCTAAGCTTGATGCCGCTATTAAAGCAGCCAAGGTAGACAAATCAAGAATACTAGAGAGCGAAAGAAGTACTACAATCTCGAAAACGAACTCGAAATCTTCCAGGCTACAGGTGAAAAAACACATAATATCTGTCTTCTCTTAAATGCATTAAACACTATTCCAATCACATCAATTGAATCGGAAAGGGCATTCTCGGTGGCAAGACTTTTCATTACTAAAATAAGAATTAGAGTGAGTTATCGGAGTATTGACCATCTTTGCTTTTTAAAATCTTATAAAAGTTTGCAATATTTTGTATTATATTTTATTTAAAAAACGAAAATTACCTTCTAAATTAGAAGTTCATTTTTTTAATTTTTAACTCAATTCAAAACATTTTTTTTGTTGTTGTTGTATGCAGTTTCCAGCAAACTTTAATTAATTTTTTTCTATTTGTGAAAATTTCTACGTTATTTAAAGGTAATTTTTATTATAGGCCTATAGACCTAACACAGCATTATTAATATGATTTTGGAGGTTACAAAACTTTAAAATTACTTTAAAAAATGGAAAATAATTATATCATTTGATTTCAAGATATTTTGTATACCTTAAAAATAATTAATTCTATCCTGGGATTTCCCGGGATCCCGGGAAACAGTTCACTTTTATCCCGGGATCCCGGGACAAGCAAAATACCGGGAAATGAGAAACCCTAATTGTGAGCCTAGAGAAACTTACGATAGGCCTGAAAAAGATCCTTTGGCGCCCACAGTGCTCAAAGAGTCAACCAAATTTTGTATGGCGATATTTCAGAACACGTGAAAGACTTTTCTTAAAAATTACTACTGAAATTTATCACTATGGTATTTTGAATCTCAATACGTGTGATTTGTGGTTATGAGTTTACTTAAAAAGTGTTATTTATCGAAGACATGTTACAAATGTCTTGAAAATCTATTGCATTGCAAATTTATAATTCACAAGGGGGGCGTTGTTGAGTAACCTCGGCTGCTGGTGACTTTTTGTTGGAGATTTTGTTAACACTTTTTTTATTGTAAATTACTGGGTTTTTTTATTTATTTGCTACCTAAGTTGGTGCATTTTTTTGCTCAATTGTGTTATTCTGTGTCATTAGTTCTATTTTTTTTGGNATTACATTAAATTGGAATACTACGCTTAATCAAAGGCGGGTCTTTTCGCCTACTTCCGAAGGTAAAGGGGAGGATTTTTTAAATCGCAGAGGTCGTCGGTCACGCGGTAATTCTATGGCATTTACCGTCGACAGTAGAGTATTGTAAAGAGGGATGCGGCTGCAATCGACCGGCACCGACGTTGCAGCGTATTCCGTAGCGGTCATGCGGGTAAGTCTCCCGGGCCACGGGCTTAAAATATCCGTAACATGTTTCGTAATTTACCTTTGGGCCAATTACGGAAAGAGTTACGAACCGGCCGGCTAATTACGTGGGAAGTGATTAAAGGGGATGACATCCCGCCCGCTAATTCTCGATCACGAACGTTTATCCACCTTCTTGTCCTTTTGTAAAAACTTCTTCCACCGATTTTATTCCAATTTTCTTCCTAAGGATGCGGGCCGTCGGCCGTCCGAACCGCTCCCAGTCGAAGAAACGCCGAATTACAAAGGAAAAAACCCAGCTACGTATTTTCTGTTAAAAATGAAAAATGGCGTAAGGAAAATTCTGAGTGTTTAAAATATTTTATGCGTTTTCCCTTCTTTTCGACCAATATTTATAATTTAAAATATTTTGAAAAATAACAAAGTTAAATGGGATTTTATTCTTGTTTTTATTAAGTAGTTTTAAATATTAAATTTAAAAAAATTTATTTTAACGGTAAAGAATTTACGGAAACGGTAGTTACGGGCGAGGGCGGGCCGGCTCTTCGTCGGCTAGGCTGGCCCGCCCTCGCCCGTAACTACCGTTTCCGTAAATTCTTTACCGTTAAAATAAATTTTTTTAAATTTAATATTTAAAACTACTTAATAAAAACAAGAATAAAATCCCATTTAACTTTGTTATTTTTCAAAATATTTTAAATTATAAATATTGGTCGAAAAGAAGGGAAAATGCATAAAATATTTTAAACACTCAGAATTTTCCTTACGCCATTTTTCATTTTTAACAGAAAATACGTAGCTGGGTTTTTTCCTTTGTAATTCGGCGTTTCTTCGACTGGGAGCGGTTCGGACGGCCGACGGCCCGCATCCTTAGGAAGAAAATTGGAATAAAATCGGTGGAAGAAGTTTTTACAAAAGGACAAGAAGGTGGATAAACGTTCGTGATCGAGAATTAGCGGGCGGGATGTCATCCCCTTTAATCACTTCCCACGTAATTAGCCGGCCGGTTCGTAACTCTTTCCGTAATTGGCCCAAAGGTAAATTACGAAACATGTTACGGATATTTTAAGCCCGTGGCCCGGGAGACTTACCCGCATGACCGCTACGGAATACGCTGCAACGTCGGTGCCGGTCGATTGCAGCCGCATCCCTCTTTACAATACTCTACTGTCGACGGTAAATGCCATAGAATTACCGCGTGACCGACGACCTCTGCGATTTAAAAAATCCTCCCCTTTACCTTCGGAAGTAGGCGAAAAGACCCGCCTTTGATTAAGCGTAGTATTCCAATTTAATGTAATCAATTTACTCCAAGTCGATCGTACTGTACCTACCCAGCTCAGCCTATCCTTCGCGTTTATTACTTCGATGTAAATATTCAGATGCTAAATAATTATAAAATCGCGCCATTTTCAAGCGGTAATTCCGGAATATCTAAATCACCACCGCCCCGCGCGCAATTACAAAATACCGGTAAAAAAACAGAGAACGGTCGACGTCATTTCAATTTTTAATAAACGAACCCGGTAATTTTACAGGCTGAAGAAAACTTTTTAGTACGGCGCAGTCTCATTGGTAAAAATATCACTTCGGCGTGACGTCGACCACGTTTATTGGTCGACGGAAGCGATGTAGTTTGGCGCGCCGGCTGCGTAGGAGGGTCCGGGTTCCTATTTAACCGTATTTTCCTTTCGTTTGCTCTACCGAGCGGCTTCTTTCCTGCAGAAAGTGACGAAAGATGAACCGAGAAAAGAATATTTTCCTTTCCGTTCGTCTTCTCGGAACCTTCTTGCTTTTATCGCAAGTCTTTGCCCATCGATTAAATAGGTGAGTTATAAAATGAAATCCTTTAATTTATTAATTGTAAATAATTGGACAAAATGAGATAATTTAGGTCGTGCTAATTAAGGAAATGTTTCGCCGGTGCTAGTTCAATATTGATGAATTCGCCGCCCAGAGAGACGCTTTCAATGGTCGAGTCGGAAGCGCGCTGCGCCTTTGTTAATTCCAGAAAATTCATTAACGGTTCGTATTAAGTCAACACGACGTGCAAATCGTTTCCTCAATACACATCAAACAACTCGGAAGAATTTAACTTCGACTACGGCAAATAGGCGCAAACTTTACTACTGTAAAACTCCGTTAAAACGGCCACTTCTTTTTCTTAATTATACAATCTATATTTGACGTTTCCAATTTTAAACAATATTTTACCTTTTCGAAAAACGACGACAAAAAATAAAAGTAATTAAAGTCGATTGTTACCTTTATTTCGCCTTTCGACCGATACTTAATTAATATAGGCGCATTACGCCCACAAAACGGCACGTAATCTTTCGCGGCTTACGGTACGCGGTACGACGTGTACGGCACAATATACGGTATCTTTGTACAGAAAATACGCCAATCCGGCGCTCACTCCAAGGCGTGTTTCCTTATTTGCTCTTTTTACAGTCGACAGTTTCTAAAATGTCGGTTTACCGTTTTTTAAACTTACAAAAATACTGGGTTTAGTCGGAAAATATGGTTAGACCGTGGTTATACAGAGATTTTCCGACGTAAAATTGGGAACATTTATCACTTAAATTTTTCCATGGGTTGGAAGCGGCTAATAAAATTATTATTCCTTGAGAATATTTGGTGACGGTCGATATTTTTATGGAAAATTTTCCATCAGGCGGCGGTTAATCCTATTAATAATTTAGAAACACCTAGAACTATAAATAAACTTTGATTGTATTAGAGAAAGCTTCGACAAAAATATTTTCGAATAAAAGTCTCTCGCACGCTTTTAAACACTGATTTTATTCGTTCGACACTTACGATTTAATTGAATTCGCTATAGAAATTTTAAATCTAAAAATATTCATATTTTTATAAATCAACACTCGCTTAAATGTATTTTGTAAACCCGGTTGGCCTTTTTCCTTACTTTAATTTGGCATTTTGTAAATAAAGTTTTCCGTTATTATTACAATCGAAACATTTACTTAAAATATTCTCCGTGAAATTTTAAATAATAATATATCCTTTCTATTAAAATTTTTATAAAATTAATATTCTAATAATGATCGAATTTGTTTCTTTCCTTAGTCTTACTTATTAGTGTTGGAAAGGTTTTTGTTTCGTTTCCCCCCCGTTCGAAACTATTGGGATTGTCGCGACGACCTTCCTTTGATTAAGGAGTTTTGTTTAAATGTAAAGAATTTTTAGAAGAAAGAATCGATTTTTGTAGCTGTATTTCCTGAAAATAAACAACTTTTTATAATATGGATTTAAGATTCAAAAATTCCAATATAAGAAAAAAATCATTTTTGTTTGAAATAAACACAAGTAAATACTCCGCTTGTTGCTGTGAGCAAATAAACGCTATATTTTCCTTTATTTTTTTGTTAGAGAGAGGAGAAGTGGAATATCTGATCAACGTTTAGCCGAACTAGAAACACTTTTGGCACTCTCCAAGTTTAAGTCTTTCCATACACCCGTCGCTTATGGTCTTCTGGATCTAGAGAAAATGTAAGTTTTTATTTTATTACAAATATAATAATTGTCTCATCTCCCATGGCATTTAATAAAACAAACAAAAATAATTGTCGCTAAAATATTATGCCGATATCTTATTTTAAAGGAACTACTCGATAATTAGTGGTCGCGTGTTTCGTTTTCTTCTATTTTTAATAAGATAATTTATAATAAACTCGTAATAAATAACTGAAATAAGTAAATTATTATATTAATAACGATGACGAAACTAGAATATTTTTAGCCAATTAATCTAATTAACCCTTGTACTACCATGGGGTCAACGGTAACCGCATTCCCTGTTTCCGTGTCTTATATTCTTTGCAAAAATGTTTGTAATATTTTTCCGTTCGTAACTTTCAATATTTTCTCTCAATTGAACACGTCGAAAACGAATTTTCTGTCAAAAGCTTTATTTTGCAAGTTTCATTAAAACTCGCATCTGGGGTCGACTGTGACCCACAGTTAATTTTTTTTCATTTTTAAGTTTTTTCATAAGTTTTGGTGTTTCTTTTTTTTGCATTACACGTGATGACTTTTGTGTGAAATTGTTAAATATTAATTAATAATTGTTCCTTATTGATCTGAGGAAATTTTCTAATTTCCTCAGATCAATCATCATTTGACAAACTGCTGGAATTTACCTCTCCTTCCATTTCTGTTATGGCAATGTCGTCATCGTCATCGTCTGAGTCATCTTCCTAATTACCGTACAAGATGTCTTCTTCGTATCTATCACTTCTTTCTCAAACAACATATTCTGAATTTGACTGTCCACAAGAGTAGAGTTCTCCAATTTGGCTTAAATAAACATTCGTAACAGGACAAATGATTGCCTCTTCTACTGGGAAAAATAGGAAACAACGAAAACTGGTCGACTTTTTCAACATTCTCGACGTCGATACTCTAAATACTATACTTTTATAGTATAGATGTACAGTACATGAACCCAAATTGGAATGAGAAGAAGGCATAGGGGTGGGTTATTATTCTTGAAAATAAGAAAATACCAAAACCGCCCGCTTAGCAGATCGGGGATGAAAACGTGGCCGATGATGTGCTTTCACCTAGGTCAAAAGACTTTAAACTTTCCCGGCTGTAGTGAGATTTAATTTTCTTTTACTGCATATTATTAATCATAGCGAGTAGTTATTTATTGTGACATGATCACAATGCCGGACTGCAATTTTGATCATGTTTTTAATTTATTTAACTTAAAATATATGCTCTCCGCCACGAATTAGTAGTGGCTTGTCCCTGTACATCATACTTTTCCGTTATCAATGGAGACATGCCGGTCATGTATTAACTGCTTTCAGAGGAAAATTTTTGAATTGAAATAACCTGACTTCTGGTGCAAACCGGAAGCTTTTATATAATTAATAGGGCCTTCTACCTCTAAGCTTTCGATATCTGGTCTCGTCTTTTTTATAACTCCGTTCTAGAGATTATGGAAAGACACAGACAGACGGACGACAGTGGGAATTTATAGGTCTACAATTTTTTCAAATTTGCATCCCAATAAATAAAATTGTGTGTGGCGCCATCTGTTATAAGACTTTCTACATTTTTAATTTTTATAAAACGGCAAAAGGCTTAACTTTGAGGGTAGTTTTAAGAGAAATTGCTAATGCTAATAACCAGTAAAATCTTCATTAAGTCCGACCCCTCTGGAAATAAGACACGTGTCCTTTGTCTAGCTCTCCATCTCCTCGCCTTTAATCACTAACTGAAGTCAAACACGTTTATTTAAACGTGTTTGACTTCAGCTAGCTCGAATTTCTAATTTGTAGAGTTATTTGATTAGTACTTTTTCCATACCTGTTCAATTAAAGAATTTTCCTCTTAATGTATAATATTTACCTTGTCGATTTCAATTAATTGTTTAACTTTATCCTTCCTGTCTAAACAAGCGCACACACAAAATCAAGTTTCATAAAATAACGATCAAATTATTTCGCCACGATAAGGACGGGCCACTCGATCCTGCCAAATTTTGACATAGAAATTTTCGGATAATAGATTCGGTAAAGCACTTTTTTTAACATAAAAAACTAACACTGTTTTACTATTCTCGTATAAGAGCACAATAAAAACCAATGGACAAGTGACTTACCCGTACAGTTACTACTTCGGAATCATTTGCACCGTACTCTTACTGCACAACCCGCACCGACCACTCTTGTCTACCGTTTCTAAGAACACCTTGCTTTGCCGGGATTTTCTTTTCAGAACATTCCTTTCTGACTCTACAAAATATTATTTCATTAATTAAGAACGTTTCAAAGAGTCAGTGAATACTGTACATCGAATCTAAACTTCTTTTCGGAGTAAAGTATCATTAAAAAGGCGAAATCGCAAAAGTGCTACTCTTACGCCATCTTATCTTAAGATGTAGATAGGTATTTCTTTTTTGATAATACAACAATTATTTCTAATTATGGCCAAATCTCGGTTTAGTGACATCTTTGGCCGCTTTCTGTAATTTTCGCTAAATCCAAGTGTTTTAAACAATAAGAAATACGTAGTACAGTATATAGTAATAAGGTTTAGTCTCTAGGAACATGTTTCAGTCCGTCGATTTCAAATTCACGCGATTTGATAATAAAAATGTCGTTTGCCGTGTTTAGTAACTCACAGATAAGGGACAATTCTCTATGTAATAGTTATAGGAAAGATCCTTTCGCTAGTAGTTTTTAGGAATTTCGGAGGACTCTGGATGCATGTTTTATTGTATTTATAAAGAATAGATATTAAGGGGTTGGGTAAAAGAGCAGCCACGAAGGTTTCAGTGCGAAATTTACTGGCTGAATAAAATTTAAATTTACAGTTCGGAAAGTATCGTGTACCCTTAAAAACTTTTAAATAATTAAAAGAAATATATAAATTCGAATGATATAAAAGTAAGTAAAATAAATGTAAACTAAATAAGAATTTTAAAACATGGAAGTTGAATCATTTTACATTTCATAATTAGAAAATAAAATCAATAAACAAATCGATAAATGTAATAAACAATATCTATTTTTATAAGTCTTGTTTTCATTTTTCCTCGATTTACACAAAAATTTTATATAATCAATTTTAAAATATTGTTATTGATGCTTTTAAATATTTAAGGCTTAAAACTTTCTATTTTTAATTCCTTATTTAATTGGGATGAAATTTGAAAAAATTGTAACCCGATAGTCCAACTGACGTCCGTCTGCCTGTCTGTCCTTTCTTAATCTCGAGAACAGTGTTACATATATGAAAGCCATGACCAGGTATGGAAAGGTAGGGGCAGGAGGCCCCGATTAACTGTATAAAAATCTTCTAATACGACCGAAAGTCACGTGGTTTCAATTTAAAAATTTTTTCTTGTAAGGTATTAGATGACTGGTAAGATTCTATTGCTAACGAAAAAGTATGATGTACAGTACAAGGGCAAATCACTATTAATTTGAGGTAGAGAAGTCATATTTTAAATTGAATACATTGAAAATATGATTAAAAATTGCAGACGAGTATTGTGACCATGTAACAATGCTCGTTAGTTTTTTGATTTAATTGATCATTTAAAAAAATTTTCCTTACAATCTGATATTTGCGATTAATACGTATTTAAAAATATTTGATAAAATCACCAAGACTATAATTATAAAATTAATTCACAATTAAGACCATACAAAGGAGTCTTTCGATGTCCTTTCTCACACCTCAGGAGAATAACAGTCTTACGGCGGAGTCGACGTTTTATTAGAGGCTGCTCATCCGCCTCACTATGAGTAGACTCTAATAAAAGGTCGCCTTCGCCGTAAGACTGTTATTCTCCTGAGGTGTGAGAAAAGACATCGAAAGACTCTTTTGTATAGTCTTAATTGTGTATTAATTAAAAAAATATGATTATTTAAATATATTCTAGATAATTTTATTATTATTATTAAAGAATACAACATTTAAAAAGTGAAGAATCGATCGTCTCAAATTTCATTTTCACACAATCATTCAATTTCGAATTCAATTTGAAACCAGGCGAATAATTTTAAATATTTTGATAAAATTGAATGCCAAAACACTTTTATAATTTAAAATATTTTATTATAATAAAAGAAAATTAAAACAGAATAAAATTTATTAAATCTCATAGAAGACGATATAACGTAATTTGATAATCAATATTTTTTTCCTATAAATATTTAGAAAAGAAAAGGAGATCGTAGACCTTTTTCTTTGAGATTTTAATCATACGATTGATTTTATAATTGATATTTTATAAGAAAAACTAATAAAGGATTATGTATTATTAGAGGAAAACGCAAAAGATCCATAGAAGATGCGAAGGAAGAAGAAAAGAAACGTTTCTATCCGGTCGACTTCAGAGGCGAAGACACAACTCCCACAAAACCCCGGAGGAAAAATTCCGCTCCATCGGAAAGAAACGAGGTTGGTAAAAATTCGAATCAATTAAGACAAAATAAAAACATCGGCCTGTGGAGTAAACACGAAAGATCCAGGATACGTCTAATAATTTCACGTTTAATCGGTAAATTTAAATCCCGCAAGGATACAAAAACGCGGCGATTAACGTTAGCCCTATTCTAACAATTAAAAACTTTTTTCGCATAAAATTACTTCCAAACATAAATAAGAATTTTTATTTTTAAAAGGGAAAACTCTACCTACGTTAGTGGTTCTCAAACTTTATCAGTCCGCGGCGCACTTACAGGTTTAGTATTTTGTCCCAGCGCACTGGTCAAAATATCAGTAGTGTGCCGTGACAATTTGATGATAGGGAAGCTGTGTTTCTCTAAGAAGCCGACTTCCAGGGGCAATCAGTCAGGGTTCATTCGTATCGTTTGTTCGATAAGCCAGTAAAAACCGCAGACTTTTCTAAATGTATTTTTAATATCACAATTACATACTGAATCGCTAGTCACGATATAAGGGCTAAAATTAAAAATAAAATTATTAAAACATACTTAGTGAAATAAAATGTGTGGTGGATGTACTGTACTGTACAGTACATACCCAGTACAAAATATTCTTCAATTGTATGAATATACTTTGAAAGAAAATTATAATTAAATATAGCTTTGTAAAGAAATGTAGAATAAAATAACATAAAATATTCTTTACTTTTTAAATCTTAAANTACTTGTAGACTATTTACTTTACCAGACGATACTGTCACTTCGCGCATGCTCAGTTTCGCTATTTTGTAAGCAGACGATATTTTTTTTCATGAAAAAAAAATGTTTATTTCGATTGTTATCTTACATTTTATTTCTTGTTAAGATAGTATTTAAATTTAAAAAATGTTTTCATAAATAAAATAAAACGTAAAAACATTATTTTATGGTTTGAATTTGCTGGTAATACTGAACTCCAGGGGAGTTAGGTTCCATATTAAAAGCACCAATGGGTTCCATATTTCACACATTTCCATCTTGGGTTAACTTAATTCCTGTCCGCACCAAACTTTAAAAACGTGAAAATCACACAGATTAATATGTACTGTACCCCTAAGTCTCTGGAACGGAATACATGCACCAGTGAACCTACAACTACACGATTTATATTTTAAAAATAATTAAATTCACTTAGCATTCAAAACTTGCGAATTTTGAAAAAAACAAATTTGCTGATTAAATACGGACAACCGTTTAACTGAAGTAAAACGGGTTTTCCCCTTGCTATGGATGTCTGCCTAGTTCAGTTCAGCCACAATCCGCTACAGTTCGCCTTTATTATCAGTTCGAAATGGGGTGGTTCCATACCTGCAGTGTTCCATAATACCTGCAGTGTTTCATAATACCACCTTCTCCTCTAAATATTTACACTACCGTATACTATTAATAAGCATGTAGATTATTGGAAACTTACCATGCAATCCTATCCAAAAGTAGATGGGAATCACAAAAAAAAAAAAATTACTTTAGCTTGGAAAATGATGAAAACGAAGATATCACGCTACTCTAACAGCTCTTCCTACCGCCAAATTTCACGTGGTGTTAGAATGACGTAAGTGTTAAATACTACGTTCATCGGTAAGTGATGCCTCTTCGGTAAGTGCTCAGAAAACAGTTTAACATGCTGTTAAACTGCTTTCTGAGCACCGTGTAACAACTAACGCCGCTCTCGCCTACTTTTTTAATTCTAATAATTACTGCGATGATGATATCCTGGAACGTTCGGTGAATATAATATTTGTTTTTTTTTAATTACAGTATTTTCCTTTTTCTATGAATTTAATTATTCTTTGCCAATAGATGGCGATACGTGTAACGATAGCGAGTCTGATGTATGTACAGTACAGCAGTACATACTACCTCAGAATCGATGTTTTGAGGTAGTATATGGCCGACTGTCGCTTCTAGGGTCTAAGTAATACTCACAAACTCGCACAAACTTTGATCCGGATCGGTTTATGAATAAAGTTTTATATGAAAGACAAACCAATAAACCAACAATAATTTATAAATTAAAGTGAGGGAATTTCGATCACTTAAGCGAGAAATATTAGCCAAGGGAAAATTTAATCCTTATATGTAAGGGCAAAAGCTAAAGCTATACGTAATTAACAAACTGACATCTACCCCGACTATATATAAACACAAGAAATATCAGTGGGGAATATTGAAAATTAGCCTCTTTGTCAAGCATACTTTCATCTAATTTCTCCGGACACGGGGCAATTGCATTCCCGGACTGGTAACAGACCAAGGTGTTTTTGATTAATAAAAAAATTACTTCGTTTTATTCTTAATGTTTGTCAATGCAGAAGTGACAGATGTTGTCCTCGGTCGACTCGAAGCCCGTGCATTCTGTACGGGCCTAATTTGAACACACGACATTTATATTATTATCGCGCTCCTGGCCGCATTGGATACAAATTTTACATGTATTGAGCGCGGCAGGTTAGATATCGTCATATCGAACCTGCCACGCAGGTTACAAAATTCTTCCAGCGCTCTGCAATTCCGATGGGTGGTGATCCGACTTATCCCGAAATGCCGTGTTGTAAATTAGTTAGCACTGTTTTCATTGTGGTTACGGTATTAATTCACAAACAGACTCTCTTGGCATCTTGATTCAAATAAACTACTGAGTGACAATCAGTATGGTTTTAGGAAGCAAAGGTCAACCGTTCATGCTATCACTATGGCAGTCAACAACATCAAAGCACTACTTGACAGGAATAAATATGTATTAGGACTTAGCTTAGACATTCAGAAGGCATTCGACAGTGCGTGGTAGCCACTGATTCTTTATAGACTCAGGCAGCTCCCATAATGAAACAACTTACTCATACTTACCAGACATTAAAAGTATCTTCAAGATGAATTGGCTCGAAATCGATCATAATACAACCCAACCCAATTTATAACGAACCATGGCTGCTTTCAAAGCTTCAAAATCACTGATAGTGATGAATGTTCTATTTGTAACAAAACCAATAGAAGCGACCACTAGCTGTTCGACTTCCCTATAGTTGAAAAAGAAAGGAATGAGTTACAGCAAATTTTAGGCTACAAATATATTGATTGGCCATGCAATAAAAGCCTTCTCCTACAAGATGAAGAAATCTACAGGTCTTTCAAAACTCTTATTGACTTATCTTTCAAACGGACTTTAGTGCAAAAATTATACTGAATATTGTCGGTTATCTGGAAAGCCACCCATCCGCTTATTGTGTTAAGTCCCACGCGTTGCGGGTAGTGACAGTGACCACAGCCACACTCCCGCCTATACCATTCATTTTCTGTTACGCGCATTTATCATCTTTTGTACAACGATAACTCTATGTACCACCCAGTTGTGCTAGGCGGTATTGGGTATGTATAGTACATATCACTTGTAACTGATTAATAAAAAAAAAAGGTATTAACCTCCGAAATAACTAACTAATCGGTAAAATTCATGCTTTCGTACAATGTGACAATTTTTTTTACTTTTGGGAAGTGTCAAAACATTACGATTCCAAAAACACGGACTATCAATCACGCGATTACAATATTATAACAGTCGGACAGTCGGGAACGTAACGCACGTTACGTGGAAAGGACAGGAAAGTAACAGCCTACAGACAAACTTAGATTTAACGTCATCGTTCATTACTTTTCGAAACCGGCATGAAATAGAGTGTAGCGTTAAACCGAAGTATCTCAAACAATAAAAATTATATAAAACAACGAGGTTTACACAGACGTTTTGAGTAATTCGGCGATAACGGTGACGCGGGCGAGGCAAAATCGTACATTCGCTAACCGACGGATGCGGAACAATTTTCCATTTAATGTTTACGGGGTCCGACCGGGACGATATCGGTGCAAGTTCGACCGTCTTTTCGTAAGAAATCGTATACATTAATTATTAATTATTAATTGACTTTATTATATTACTTTCAGATGAGATACGACGGCCGACGTCGTTAAAAACGGGAGAAAGTGCCATCGATTGGTCGCAAGATCGAAACGTTATCCGTCGTCGTATAAAAATAGCGTATAATCGAAACGTTTGGCAAATTATTCTGTTCTTAATTTCAAAAGAGATCAAAAATATTCCAAGACAATTAATCAAAAGGCGATAAGGAAATTTTACAATCTCCTACGGACACCGGAAGAAAAGTCGGCTTCGGGAGATGTGCGAAAAGTAAGAACAACTTTCCAATGTAATTTGTCGTAATTCTGCAGATGTTTATTGTTCGTAATGTACTGTACGACGATTTTCGTCTTTTTCTTTTATTGTAAAAACTAATGGAATAAATTATTTCTAGACTAAAAGCCAAATAAATGTGAAACATAACGACTAGAAATGGCCGGAAAAGAATCTCTCTTTACCAAATTCGTTTCCCAAATAATCATTCGTCTAAGAAATAAAAGACGATTAACAGATTTTAACGCTTTTCACAAGAAATGTTTCACGCTTCGGGAAATTTGAAAATTGTAGCGGAGAAATTCTAATTAAAGACGGAAGTTCTAATTAGAAATTTTTACGGCTTTTTCAAAAACAATGACGAATTTTCCTGATCTTACCAACGGAAAAATTCGGATTAAAAACCGGACACGATTCCAACTTCTTTTCGTAAATTACTCTCATCCTTCCGTTAATGACGCTAGGGTTTTAAATCAAATATTATAAACGATTACGATGTTACAATCTAAACAAGCCAGTAAGGAGTTGTTAGCTTTCCCGGCAACATTTAAAACTGGGTGTGTGACGCCATTCGTTATCATATTTTATTACTAAAACTTTTTTCTATTTATAACTATTATAAAATTGCAAAAAGCTTAATTTTCGGGCTAGCTAGGGACAAGTTTTGTAAAAAATTGTAAATATAAATAACAACTAAAATCGTCATTAAGACGACTCTACTGCAGCTTTATCTCCTTATCCCTCGACTTTTAACCATCAAAATTTAATAGCGTAAATCCGCTATACACCAACATACCTGCAGAATTTCAGAAAATTTCGACAAAAAGCACGGGAATTATTAAGCTTTAAAGAGGATTAACAAAATCGTGCCACACACAATACAAACATTCATACACACAGAAAAAAACAAAACGAAATTTTTTGCATTTCTCGACGTTTCAGTGTTTCGGGTCCAAAAATGTAGAATTCTTGGAAGGAGTCATTTTTTTTACCGACGACCATACTTTTCCTGTGTTATGTATAACTGAACCGGTAAGTAAAAATTAATTTCGTTGGCAAGTAATACAGTACTAATAAGCTGATCGGTATCGTAAATTAATAGACTAAAGACACCAATTAGAAATTAATTTAAGAATTATTTAAGAATTTAGAAGACAGAAACTGTAATTTGTGCTCTTTTGATTATGGAATATAATACAGTTTCAATAAATTTAAAATTATAATAAACTAGCAGGTAAGCCCGACGTTGCCTGGGCTAAAAATAACAACAAACTTTAAGATTATTGAATTATTTCGTACCCTTCTACTATATTACATTTTAGTATTTTGTTTATATAACTACAAAAGTTATCATACGAAAGGGTTTATCACAACGAGTGACCAATCTAACACATTTAAAAAAAATTTTTTAATTGTATATAGTAGAGAAAAAAAGAATTTTTAAAATTCGTTAGATTGGGCATTCGGTGTGACTAAACCTTTACATAAGATAGTATTTTATTTTATAAGTGGAAAGTTTATGATATAACATCAAAACGGAAACCGTATAGAGTTTGGTTATTTCAGCCTACAATACGTGTCACTTTATCACCATACTCGGATGGTACGAAATGGCACAAATTTAACGGCCAAGTAGACAGGAATTGAAAATATATCTTACATTTTTCAGATATCAGAATATTTTCTAATCTTAGCTCTATAAAATTACAATTTACAGCCGAATATCAAACGGTAATCTGCCAACCAATCAAATTTCGGAAGAAACGGATCAAATATTTAAACTCGGCCACCTGAAAACCACTTGAATCATATTTTCTTCTCTCCGGTAACCTCGTATTTTATAATTTTCCTATTCGAATACCATCGCACCGCTGGTCGATAGAAAGAAGGGAATGTTGCGGAAGGGGGTTGAAGTAATTCGATTAAAAGTAGACGTTGAGCTCCTCCCTGAAGAGAGGACGGTCAATAACTACTAATACCGATTTACTATTAATTAAAATTTAAAAAGTGATCCTTGTTGGATAGGTTTCGAAGGCCACTTAAGTGATTGAAGTTGCTAACCTTAACGTCCGAAAGATTTCATATGACTTATTTAAATAAAAGCATCTTTGTAAAAATGCTAGAATAATTGCTTTTATGTAACAATAAAGTGTTTAGATTTTGATAACAGATTGTATAAACGATATTTACGAGAAAATACGTAAATATCGTAAATATCGCGAAATAAATCGTATTTATTTCGCGAATTTTCTCGTAAATATCGCGTTTATAGAAAAATTATTAACCTGCAATTTGAAAAAAATTGTAGACCTATAAATTTTCAGTGTCGTTTGTCCGTCACTTTCCTTCCTTAATCTCGAGAAAGCAGTTAGATAGATGAATGTCGAGACCAGACATGGAAATCGCAAGAGAAAAAGGATAAAATTAATTTTATATGAACTTCCGATTTGTACCGCGAGTCACGTTATTTCAATTGAAAAATTTTCCTTTAAAAAGAGTTGGATACATAACCGACACGACTCTATTGCTAACGGGAAAAGTACGATATACAGGGGAAACACAACTACACTCCATATAGGCAAGTACTATATTCTATGTGTTGCAGAGCATCAATTATCCGACTCAATTGGGGACTGGGGTTGGTCGGATAATTGAAAAGTCGGATAACCGAAAATTTTATAGATTAAAATATTAAACTATTGAATTTATTTACCATAAACCAACCAGTTATTATTCCCAGTGACATCCCTCCAACAACATCCCACCAATGATGACGATGGTCATAAATACGAGTTATACAGCAACCCAGAGTCCATAGGAGAAACGATAGAAAAATTAACCAATACAAGTGATTTATCTTTATCCGTTTGCAATATTTCTGAAAAAAAAATTTAAAAATTAATGCAAAGAATGATACTCGCATATAAAATCATTTTACTTTAACTTACTTTAAGAAAAACCAGAGCAAAACAAGAAAGTGAGGAATGTCCGGAGGGAAACGATTTATATATATCTGAATGAACTAGATGAGAGGATCCAGTGCAGATGAATTGAGAAATGGTGTCGCTAAAAATAAAGTATGAAATATATAAAGCCAAAAACATCATTGCTGAGATATAATTAGGAATATTTTACCTTATCGAGCAATTTATATTTGACCATTCTGGCATACACGTGTGTAAAAAATGGGGACGAAGTCCCGTAACATAATGTTTCAGCACTTCTGTTATAGCATATACGTAAAGGAATCCTATCAGATAATATTTGATACTGGATTTGACAACTCTCTGCGTTGAAGGATAATTTAACTCGTTTAAAATAATCTAAAGTATAAGACAAAAACCTGTTACTTGATGAAATTTAAAGTGAAATAAAATTAAAATATATAACACGTACTACTGTTGTAGGAAAAAATAGTAAAATAGTGAATAATTGGATGGGAGTTATAGTATCTCCTAGATAAGGATATCGAATGGAATCATCGTTACACGAAAAACCTTTCTTCGATTTTGGTATCACTCCACTTATTGATAAGAGAAGAAAAGTTGCAACTATAAATAAACACTTCATTAGATTAAAAAAATATTTAACTTTAAATAATTACTTTGATTAAAACATTGAAAATGTAAGACGAATTGAAATAAGAAAACTTTGACGTCAGGGCTGGACTTAGATTTGTTTTGGCAATAATCTATAATAAATAGTGGGCCTTCCCCTCAACACATGTAAAAATGTGAGGAGGCCCTAAGCCAGTATTGGCAAATCCTTGATGCAGTAATTCGCGCGACGACTTTAGGCTGTCGGCATTGAATATTTAAAGTATTTAGATATATATTTAGAAAGCATTAGCTATAATATATGCAAAGTTTTGAAATATATCAAATATAAAACCTTGCATATATTATGTGAAAGCAGAGTCCACTAACAGTAAGTATAAACTAAAGTGTAAAGTGTAAAGTTTTAAACGTCAGTAAGTATAAACCTCGGATAGAAAAATGTATTTGACTCCCGATTTACAGTTATTAAATTTTGAATTTAATTTTAACTCATCTTCGGAAAAAGTTTCTCAATCTCTAAGCTATAGATAGACTCATAACGCGAGGCCCTAAGTAATAGCTTGTTTACCTTATGTGCAGATCCGTTTCTGCTTGACATAACGGTAAAAGTATCTTAGATATATCTATATACAGTATTAGCAATATATGTAATTTATGATATTCATTAGTGTAATGAACAATAATTTAATTTAACTTTATTGGACAATCAGCGATTTCCCTTTATCCGGTAGGATAAAAAATAATAATCATAAGAAAAAGTACAGTAAGCAATAACAATAAAGAATTAAGGTAGAATTATCTTAAAATAAAAAATAAGCTATTAAATTTTAAAAGTTTACCTGAAATATTAAAAAATATTTTAAAATTCTTCATCGATATGTTTTAAAAATGTTAAGTACGACGATTACTTTAGCAGAGAAGAGAATAACTGAAGTTCTAAAGTGCAACCAGTATTATGTGACAAGCGTGTTTTGTCAGCTTTCTGTTTTAAAAATAATCAAGGAAATCAACTCAACTAATTATATAATAAACATACAAAAACAAAGTTTAGATGGCCTTACCTTTTAGTATAGCCTATAAAAAGTAAGTAGAGGGAAAAGAGAAGAGTAAGGAATTAAGTGGAAAAAGGGAAAATGGAGTATAAGAAAATTAGTAAAGGAGGAAGTTCATGGTTGTCGCAGGTACCAAAAAATGTAAAATAGTTGAAACAAAAACATATAATAAAAAATACACAAACAATAAGACAACAACAACGCGAAATCACAAAGCAAAATTGGATATTACATTACAGTGTAAATGCGCGTACATTACTAGCAATGAAAACTAACATTTTGAGGTGTTTCCCCAGTGTAATGTATACACTTATGATAACACACATATTCCTTCAAATACTCCAACAGTGTGAACATAATAAAAGGAGAAATAACAATGAAATTGCGTTAACAAAACCAGTGACGCAGATTGACAGTTGGAGGTGCTTTCCCGTTTGGTGAACAACACTTAGCATGCTAGAATACATACAAATATACCTCCGATTAATCTATCACAATAAGGCATAAAGAAAAGGAATACAGTGTGTCTTCGCGTACATTACCAAAAATTCAGTCTAATAAGTAAGTATTGAAGATGCTTCACTCGTTCGATGTGGAACACGTGGCTTTTGCGAAAGAGGTGAGGGCTTCAAAGGTAATCTTTTTCCTAAAGATGTCCTCCATCTTGCAGGGTCAGTGAAGCCCACAGTTTAAGATAATGTGCACAAGTTGTTGCCGTGCTGTCTTGTGTTTCACACAAAGAAATACCATGTGGGTAGGAGTGTCCTCTTCTTGGATGGGGCAGTCGCAGAGACTTGAATCCTTCCCCAGGTAACGGAGAAGGTAGAAGGTAAAGTTCCCATGACCTGTGAGCAGCTGAGTTATTCCACAATCTGGGTCTTGTTCTCTGTGGAATTTGCGTTTGGCTTTGCGCAAACTCTGGCTGAAGCGAAGGTTGCTGAGGACAGAATTCCACCACTAAAATTTGGTTGCATTAGTTTCAGAAATAGTGGTTGCCTCGTAGGCATATTGTAAGATTTTGTTCAGGTTGTCTATAAGCCGATCCAAATCAGAAGTGGTTTCAATGTTAGCAAAGGGGCCATATAGACTATATGTTCATATAGGTCCCAATTAGTTTTACATGTAGTACGTATGTTGCCCTTCGGAACTTCCTCACTGAATATATAATTGTGATCACTCTCTCTGATGACATTCATAGTATAGTAGGTTTTAATTTTATTGAAAAGCTCTTCGTTACAAAGGCATACATCTATCTAGCTTCCCCCTGAGAGCTAGAGAAGATGGGGAGGGGGCTAGAGTTGAGCGAAAAGAGGTGCATTCGTCTATTACTTCCCACAGAGCCCGGCTCCTTGGATCCTCCCTGGGAGAAAACCACAGTGATACTTGGAGTTGAAGTCCCCAACAACAAACAGTCCAGAATTAGAGAAAGCCCTTATGGTGTCAGAGACTTCCTGAAGGGGAGATTTGATATTAACAGAGGAGGGATATGTATACAGAAATGATATGAAAGAAATAGTTGTTGCTGTAGATTTGAATGGTGGTGTGATACCTACTATAAAATTAGGCTGCTAAAGGATGTTAAAATAGGAATTGGCCTCTATAACTGCCGAGAAAATTTGGTCGGAGTCCTTGAAAAAGAAAGTCCTACAATGACCAAGCAGAGTCAACTTACCACCCACTACATAGAGCTATAATAAGCGTGTTTAATTCTAAATTAAAATTTATTGAGGATTGTTTGTTAACGATTATTTGGTTTATTTGGTTATGACAACGAGATCTGTTGAGGGGATGCCTCCTGGGAGGACTTTTATGAGAAATTGGCTTCTATTCAGGTGTTACAAAAGTGAAGAAAACCCGGAAAACTACACGTGGCCAGCCTGTTGGCTAACTACTACCAGTTCTCAGCGCGGCGTGATCACGCTACTAAATTATATACATAGTCATACCATAAGTGTTCACCAGTGGCCAAGCGGTTCCGTTTCCTAACCACTTGGAGTCCAGTCGTAGGTTCGCTCCTCGCCAGGACTGCCCGGCCACGTGGAGTTTTCCGGGTTTTCTCCACGTCTGTAAATGCCTGAATAGGAGCTAGTTACCCATAAAAAGACCTCCCGGAAGGTATCTCTCCCTAGGAAGATCGCCCAAATGTTTCATTTAAGGCAGTGTTTTTCAACGTTTTTCTTTATCTCACGGTACACTTAAACCTATAATTAAATTTATGCTGAAAAAATCAAGTGCTTTAAAGTTGAGTTTGTAAACATTCTATCACCATTTTACTTGTCACTTAACCTCATTTTATTTGTCTATATTTTTTGTGAATTAAATAAAACAGCACGGCTGTTCCTTAAACAGCAACAGGCTACAACAATAGTTATTTCAATTAATACTGTAATTTTCATTTACATAAGAAAAGCAATTAACATTGTCTTAAATTGCATTTAAAGGTGGCACGATAATTGCGCTTAGAAAACCTTCCCAAAGCCCTCCAAGTTAAAATAATTTGAACTAAATATGGACAATTATAGATACATTTTTGATTTTTAAAAAATTTCATTTTAAGAAATAACTGTTTTATGCACATATAATTTTCTTCTCCATCATAAAATTTTTGCTTTTTAAGATTTTTCAGGACAACTTTAGGATCCTGCTTTCACACTACATATGCTTCACAGCGTTGCCGTTTTGTATAAAATCTTATGTTCAAATATAGAGTTTATTACCTTCAAAAACTTTTAAGTATGATAGAAAATACTTCTAATTAAGCCTTCACATTTTTCGAAACTCATAACAGTTTAAACATCTAGATAATAGCAGTAACTACAACTACTATATCATTCAAAATATCGAATATTCAAAGCGGAACGAGTTTAAAGAAAATTATTTAAATAATTAACATTATAGAGTCATCAGTTTCTCATTAAATGTCTTCTATCTGCTGCTGATGCTGCCAATGGCAATAAATTAAAATTACATCGAAGATAAGTTCTACTTTCGGTTTTGTGTTCTATTAATTTACAACAATTTTTTTAATAACACAAACAATTGCCCGCATAAACAAATTCTAAATATAACTCACCTCCAAATTATCTCCTATACAAGAAAAAACTTTTCAACCTGGAGATAAACCTCCAAAATGGCAACTTTGCATTTGCGGTGTTTTAAAATACTGGTACATTATATTTTTAAATTAATTTATAAATACTTAATGCAGTAGATAGCCCTCCATATAACAGGCACTGTATTTCTCTTTCTCATGGAAAAAATTTAAAACTTTTTAAATTCGCGAATAGAGCATACTAAAAGGTCGGAGCAACAAGCTAATGAATATAAATTACTGAATATACATAATGCTATTCTTTTATTCATACTTATACATTATAATAATATTTTAACACGTCTTGCACATTTTAGGTTCGTTATTAATACATGCTTTTAGGATGCATTCGATTTAACGGAATAGTTTCGGGGATAGTTGCACCTCTTTTCCCTAATTATTCGTTAAATAGACGAACATTCAATGTGGGTATTTTGAAATCATCGTGACGGTCACGGGTTCGCCATCACTGACCTAGATTAAAGTGTTTACGCGCATTTACATTCCTTACATTGTTATCGCGCATGAGGTATTTTCAATGGTGCATTTCTACAAACCACACCTATCATAAGTTATTGTATTGAAGTCATATTTATATAAATAAACACAACATCGCTTCATTATTTTAAATGTTTATAATTCTTTTATTCGCGAACTGTTTCTTATACAGGCTATAGTAAAATAGTTTCTGCTTTTAAAATTACTTATTGATATTTTCACGTTTATTAATTAAGCTTTCATTTATCTTGACTGACAAGGAAAGGCAACGAAATTACTAATTTTAAACATATTTCAAGGTTGGGTAAAGTTTATATGAAATTAATACTATATGTAATAATGAAATATGCTTGATCGTGAACTGTTTAGAGGAAAAATCCCTCACTAAAAGTTATTTTAAAAATGTTTTGTAAAGAAAAGAAAGGAGTGTCAAACGTGGAATTCGACCTCTCATTCCGACGGCTATACAAACATACGTATTTTTACAACTCGTTCGTGAATGCAGCTCTCAATATTTATGCCAGGGTTTTCAAAACCCTTCACTTTGAGTTATGAGCGGAAACCGCGACAATTCAACAAACATCTCCATCAGTGTCCAGTCCCCGAATTCGGTTCTGAATAGTCCTTGCAAGGGAATAATTGAGAAAAGAGAAAAGGTGGACTGAGATCAATCTCAATGCCCAATCGAGGATACAAACCCTTTAAAAAGCTCGAAACTTAAGCACATAAAAGCCATTTTTCACCAAGACAGTATCCTTTGAAAGTCTTTCATAGAAAAGACTTCTCTAACAGTACCACTCTATCAAGACAGTTTTGTGCCCATGCTTCTCGCCTCACGCTACTAATAGTGAATGCATTATCCCGTTGATAGCATCATCTGTACAACGTAGAGTCTATCGACGAAGAGAAATTGTCCGGGGCTGTCATCACCGTTATCCGGATTTGTATCCCGTCGAACTGTTTTACAAAAAGCTCTAAAGTTTTGTAAGAAATAAACAAGTTTTATCACATAACCAACTTAGTGCTACTAGTCTATCTATCTAGCAATATAATGTGGTGTTACAGTAAATATTCTAGATAAATTATTTATACAAGATTATCTTATATCATATTTATATTATGAACATATTTTCAGGGTTCCTACGCACCTGGAAAGTCAGGGAAAATCAGGGAAAGTCAGGGATTTTCATTATTTTTTGAAAAAGTCAGGGAAAGTCAGGGAATTTGTCAAAAATTGTCAAAAAGTCAGGGAATTTGTCGAAAATTGTCAAAAAGTCAGGGAATTTGTCTCCTTAACTGCGTTGTTGATTTCGTTTGCTGAATATAGATGACCAATCACAGCCATCTGCAGGCGGCAAGAAGTAATGCTGCAATCTTTAAAACCCGAGATAACTCGGGCAAGTTCCATAGCGTTACATAAAACTCGGGCATTTGGGCCCTCCGAAAAAANTCATCTTGCAACGTCATCGAACGATGTGACTACATCAAAGACGTGTGCAACTCTCTTTGGTTGCAGTTGCAGTTACCTGC